TGGCCGCGCGAGTGGCGCTTTCGCGGATTGTTTCCGATGTTCCTTTGTCTCTTTTGTGCTTCACTTTTCTTGATAACTGTTATCGGAACTGGTTTTAATAAATAAGTAGGGCATTTTTAAATTCGTTTGAAATCGTTCGTGTTTTCAACTTACAGTTATTATGTTTTAAGTGTATAGGTAATTTCGTCAAATCGATATATTAATTACTAAAATAGGTTCGGCGTACAATAAAACAACATTTTTTCAGTAATTACTGAACATTCTTTGTATTATATTTTCTTAAGACAATGAGTTTGGGATTCTCTAAATGAACATATATTATTAAGGTTCTCTAGCTGCTGTTTTTAATAAAGAAATACGTTAAAAAGTAGTAATTTTCTATTTTTCAAAAACTTTGTATTTGATTGTTCATACGTAAATACATCGATAAATTTCATACAAACTTTATCGATGACTTACGAATACGTTCTCGCCACAGTTCGTAATAGTCCTTTAAAAATAATACATTTTAGTGGATCTGGATCTCAAGTCACTGCGCGTAAAAGATTTAGGTAAAGGAATGTAAAAAGGAAATTAGGCAGTTGACCTTGTGTCTATAAAAATAGATTTGTATCAAACATTACAATAGATATCTTAATTTTAATATTCCAAGATAATAAAATATCAATATTTCTTTACGTCGTAAATAAATGATGCGACGCAAACTCGACTATTTAAAAATATTTCGGGCGTCATAAACATTTTAATATTCTTATGCCATTGGAATTATTTTCATTCAACCATCAATTTTATTGCTTATTGTTATGAAAAACAAAGGAGTGTTAATCTATTATTGCTTATAATGTAACGTAGTAAAATAAAACAACATTTTCAACGACATAAACATTTTTCTTAAAACAAACGCATAGCTTACATTCAACTTACAGATATTTGAAATCTCTTCTTACTTACTGTATGTTTATAAAGTAAATATTTTATGTTTTTCAACAAACATAATTTCAATTTTAATTTCTTGGGCAAACTAAATAACTACATATTGATGAAATAAATGCATTTTATTGAAAAATATTTTAAAAACAAAAAAAATCTACAAATCTCACAAATACTTTCTCGAAAATTTTCGTGCTAGGCACCTTGTAATTAAATAATCTTTTTCTACAGGTCTTATTTAATATGGCTTTTGCTACAATAGTACGATAGTCCATACTTCTTCACTAATATAATAAATCATAAACACGCACTGCTTTGTGGCGTAGAATGTCACCACAGCATATTTTTGAATAATTATTTCCTTATTAAAAAAACCCCACATTTACGACACGCTTTGGGATACATATTTTCACGCTATTAAACTTAGTGGGTAAATGAATGTAAATAAAACCTTCATGTGGAAAAGTGACCATAAACTACAAGCTGCCAACATTATGAAGCAAGGTTATGGTAACAGTAATTTTGACATTGGCAATTGAGAATTTGATAAATGTAAACAATTAAAACAGCTAGTAATATAATATTCAATTTTCCGGCACTGTTTCTCCTATCCATTTCAAATATGGCGGGTTGCCGTTTTTTATTGGTATTGATATGACTTCACAAACTTCATATGGATGATTGGAGCGAACATATTCTGTCAGTTTGTCCACCAGAGATGTACGAGTCTTGATCATTAACAGGGCCTGGAAACAATAAATATGTAAAATCAGATAATGTAACAGTAATCAACATTATTTACTTAAGGGAAATAGTTTTATGTAACAAATGGATTCCATTGATATCTTAAATAACAGACAATTTATACTAATATTATAAAGTGGAACGATTTGTATTTTTGTATGTATTGAAGTAACTGAAAAATTGTACCAATTTCAATAAATTCTTGCACTGAAAAGCTATGTTATCACTGAGTAACATAGGCTAATTTTTAATACTTTCTTAAAATCATGTGGGCGAATTCGCGAACAGCTAGTTATAAAGTTACTGTTGTCTGGGACTTCTTGCAGTTTTACGAAAAACAAAACACTATGTACCCCTTAGTAACTGCAACCATTTCAGGACGAAATGTAGTTTGTATTCTTCCAGACTATCCTCTTCATGTAGGCCAAATTTCTTAGAGAACCATTTAGGCATTTAGGTTACAAACTCTAATAAATATTTATCAATCCAACCTTTCACAGTTATAATTAGTAAGAATCATATTATTGGAAAAAACAAAAATATGTTACTCCTATCCTACCGCTATGAATCATCCCTGCCTTATCCTACTACCGTAGGGTTGGCGCACCAGGTTTTCGTCCTCCAAAGCTACCTACCGCTATGAATCTTAGGAATTATTATTCTTAAGATTTAGTTAATTTTTAATCAATTCATGTTTAATAGTTCAATAGTATCTAAAAGATTATTTATTTTTAAGCCAGTAAAATAAAAACTAAATGCAAAAAATCTAAGCCAACTTAAAGCATTCAAAACTTAACCTCTATTTAAAAAATGTAGATAAACATTTTTCTTATTATTGTTCAACTTGGTATGTATACAAAATCAATCACAACTAACCTCACTGTCTTCATTGATCTCTCCCTTCCACTCATATATCGAAGTAACTTGAGGTACAATGTTAACGCAAGCAGCCAGTTTATTCTTTACTAATCCATGACCAATAGTTTTTCCAACATCCGTACTCGGCACAGTAACATATGCTACCGAATATTTATCTGTAAATATAAGTACAGTACATTAGTATGCAAAAAACAGTAATTCCTTATTATACTTATGTATTGTCTATTAAAAAAGGTTTATTTTATTCATACCTGCATCAATAATTCCCGAAGACATGTTCGCTTGTGATGCAACTAAACACGGTCTAATAATTGTTAAGTAGATTGTAAATACGTAATTCCTGTTCAGATTCAAAAGCATCCTACGTTAATTATTTCATATGCTATTAAACTAGTAAGATAATAAAGAAAATAAAGTTTATTTCGAAAATTACGATTCACAACAAACCAAATGTCAAAAACCTTCACAGACAACTTACTGACAGTGACATTGACATAATTAGTGAAACATCAAAGAGTATGTAACAATTTTTCAACAAACCTTTATTAATCTGGTAATAATTCACAGATTCTCATTAATTTCCATTATGACCTTATCAAGAATATAAAAATCTCAACTAAGTATGGCTTCAATTGTGTTGTTCAATACAACACTGCAATGTACGCAATGGTCAATAACATGGCCAGGGGATTTAGATTAACGACAAAGTTATATGTGCCTTACACTCCATTTTAGTTTTTTTATTTGATTTTTTATAAACACACGTCTTATAATTTGTTAATAGAAATATAAGAATTGGAAGACTTGCAAACGAAAACAAAAGTGTTTGTTTCTTAACTATATAATTTAAGTTCAGTCACTCTATAAATACACGAACAACAACTAGGAACGAGGAAATGTTTCTCAATCAATTCCCCGTTGTAGTCGAGCGCCACCATACTGCGAAGAATGTACTTTTGTTTGCACATCCCCTCATAGCCTTGAGCAAAATGCACTACTGATTTGCATGGGATGTTCTGCCGACTGGAAAAAAATAATTATCATTATTAAACTAAATAGTAACGATGGCTTTTGATATTGCGGCAGATCTAATGTCTGATTCTTCTCTGTATAATTTAGGTAATGGTTAGTTAAATCCAAACATGGAAAATTTTTTTTTAATTTCTCGTTCCATTATTGAGTGTTTTGGCGAAATATTACTATACTATGATGACTACTTTCTATTTGTATACAAAATAATGATATCGAAGACATAGAAAATACTTACTGACAAATGTCAACACGAAAGGTCTGCTGTACATCCCTAACTTTGTTTATAATGTAATACCACTGCTCACTGGTATCTTTCGCCGCTTTTGGGTTATACAACTGTAAACCAAAATGGAGTTTTAATGCTTTTTAATAGTTAAACTGTACAATGTATTATAAATTATACAGATAGGATGTTAAATAAAATGACATACTCAAGTTACATTAGCTAAAATAATTTCTTGGATATCTTACCGATTCCTGTGATCTGCATAACTCCAGATTTTCCTCCTCTGGTCCTATCCTTTGAGCAATCTCTGGTTCTATGACGTCCACGTTGAATTTGGTTGAGTTGACTACGGACATCTGGAATGCAGATAGTATAAAATGTTAGTTAGAAGCTATACTCTATATTACAGATGGTTAATGTTTAAATACCTAATGACCCCTTACTAATTAGTGGTGTCGATTTTAGGTTATCATAATCTATACTGCAATGAATGAAAATTATATGAAACAATGTCATAAATCATGCCTTACCCGGTCTATCAACTGCGATACGTATCCATGCGGATATTCCGGTATATTATCACAGATGCCGACTATTTCGCAATCTTTAGGGATCTTTGGCTTGAATGAAGTCTGCCCGGGGAATACGATGCCGCTCGAAACTGGAAATTATATTTAAATACTATTATTTATGAACGCTGTAAAAGGTGACAAGGTTAAGAAGGGAGTGGCTACTGACATGAATTTAGATAGCTTAACCTGGAGTGAGCAAAGTTGTTGCGCTACCCTACTGGTGTAAGATAAGTACGCCGAGATGATGAAAATAATTTCTTAGGGTTGGAAATCCTCATTGTCAACCTATAGCTGGAACTGGATGGTTATGGTTTACGAGAAACTGTAAGATCGTTTATATTTTTCTGTCCTACGTGCCAACTCCAAAGTCGAGATATTTTACGAAGTCTAATATAGTTGCAATCAATTCTATATTACCAAAGCGTTCATAAATCGTTGTTTAATCTCAACAACAATTTGAATGATCATTGGCTAATGGTTGGGGAAGTTACGTACTATTATTTAACAACAGTCATTTGTTACATTACACGCTACTCCGAATACTGAGATCATTTGTATATTTTTTGTTTACATTTTGTAAGAATGTATTATTTTGTTTTAATAAAAAACTATTGAAACTGAGTATTTTATCCCAAATGACAGGGGGAAGATTTGATATAGAACGTACGGCAATTTCGTTGTGACCTGTTATAGGCTTAATCTAAATTGAATTTGCCATCACGAGTTTTATACAAATCATAATTTCCTCCGAATTTAAGACCCGATGGATTCTCTTTCATTTTTAATTTATTTTTAAATCAAATTATTATTATCGGTGACCAGTGCGACCTCTTCGACCGTATACATACTCTTTGACAACCAAAGAGGTCAAATATATTCGAAATTCGAATTGCCCAAACCTAACACAAATACGTATAAAATGGTGCATTTATTTCTTTTCATTATCAACGTTTCGCAGATATTCTTTATGAATACAATTTCATCATCCAGTTCCTAGATATATGGTTATAATTACATTCTTGATAAAACATAGCCGACGCTAATAAACATTAATGTTAATTGGTGACAATTGTATACATTAATAACTGTCCAATAAATTGTGTTGTACCAAGAAAAGTTCATGTGATAATGTAACTAAAGAATAATTTCTATTCCCTCTAGGTAAGTCTGATATTATATTTTTTAAATAATTATACCTATCTAGTATGTCTTATGCCTTAATTATGCCATAATATGTAGTATTGCATAATCTATAAATATAATAAAATTTGTATTTCGTATGTAAAATCATGTTTCGTGAGCATGATGCTGATAAAATAACGTTATTTCAAAATTCTGTGTGTCCGTGTTTGTTCCGTGAAATCTCCGGAACGACGTGACCAGTTTTGACGTAAAAACAGCTGGTACACGCGGGAACTAATTTACCAAAGTCACCGGCGACCTCTGATACCTACCGTCATTCCTCTGAATAGCTCTCGTTCTCCTCGGTATCGTACTCATCGCTTCGTGACTCTGAAAGAAGACAATTTATTTCAATAAAACCAGCTGTTTAATAGAAATTGATTAGCTCAAATGACCATTTGACAATCGGAGGACGAATCGAATGACACCGTTCACTTCAAAATCAGTCAAAGTTTAAAGTATCCGTTCAGTTTATGCAACAAGGGATTACCATCAAATGGGATCTAGATAAACAAAATGGGATCTAGCGGGAACCCGCAATGTTTTAGGCTCTGCGAGATTCCATAATATCTTGCATTATGCAACGTACATACATACATTTCCTGTTAATTCGGCAATAAAAGATGCTGTTTCTAAAAACGTATTAGATGCCAAGAATTATACTTTTTACTGGCTTGCACATTCGTGGAAGCAAGCGTTAAAATTATTGACTACATTTATTATCTTAAATAGTTTTATTTTAGGACGAAGAGTCTTAGTTCTTATAAAACCAGCCATTTCGTAGTTCTTATGCGTACCCGAAGACTACCATTTTATATTTGGGTCCATAATTTGGAATTTACAAATGTAAAAAAAATATAAAATTTTAAACTTGTCAATTGCATTTATTAGTCGGAAAAGATTCCGATTTTTATATTTCTCAAGAACAATCTGTAATAAATAAAAATATGATTGTCCGAGATAATGTCAAAGTACATTTGATCAGATTTAACTACACTTTTAGTTAATTATATTTAACGGACAATCAAAATGTTTATATACGTAATTGTTTTTTCCAACATTACACGCAGTTTGACGTATATTTTTTATCTGTGACACATTCTCGTCATGACCTAATATAATGTATAGTCTATGGACTCCACTTTATGATTCGTTGGTCTGAAAACCCATGTGGTAAATCGTCGTTTTTGTTAATTGTTCCTGATAGTATATTTTTTATCTGCAAATTTCCGGAACATCCGAACGCAACAATCGTTCGCGTGAAAAATATCGTTCTTCCTTGTCATTTAAAAACAATAATCGTGATATATCTCGTTTGGAACGAATACCGAAATTAAATAAACAAAGAACCTCAATTACATGGAGAAAATTACGATAAACTTCATACTAATATTATAAATACGAAAGTTTAGATGGATGGATAGATGTTTGTTAGTTTGTAACGGCTGAACGGATCTGGGCTTTGGAATGGATGTAATACATACTCTAGAAGAACACATAGGCTTTTACTTTATTTAAATTTTACGCGGACGGAGTTGCGTGCAAAAGCTATTTCATAATAAGAGCGATGAACTTGATTTCTACTGATACGTGAGTTGAACCTATAGAAACATTCGACATTCCACATTTATTCGACATATTAGAGATAATTTCTGTGATAACCAAGGTCAAGTATCAATTATTTAATTCGAATTCGAACATTATGAACAAAAAAAATAAATAGTCCAACCTTTCAAATGATTCGTATTTGAATTTTTAATCGTGTTTAAATAATAGAATTGTAATCGTTTCTAACTTTAAAATATTTTACTATGAACACTCGTATAAAGCCATTTACAGATGCTCTATTTTACCAGGTGTTCAGTAAAAATTGTCAGTTATAACCGCGTACGTAAACTTGTAACTACTCTGTGAGAGCAAACTACGAAAAGTTTTTAATAAGTCATAGCATTTACAATCTTTTAAGGTCATGTCAAACGAGATTATTTACGAGGAATAATGCCCTTAACCGTCTGAGAATGGTAATGAGATTTGCGTACATGTAAATAAAGGTAGGACGCTTTATTTATCTATTTTAAACTTTATTGAATACATTTCTAATGGTATATTCTAATAATAGCCTATAGTGTATTGAAATAACTCAAAAACCGATTTTAAAAATTCCTTCACTGTTAGAACGGTAATTTATCTGTAACATAGGGTATATTTTTTTTAATTTCACGCGGGCGTTGTCGCGAGCAACAGCCAGTATTGTAAAAAATAATGTTTCTAAAGTCTAAATTACGTTGTAGTTCAGTTATTTTTTAAATCTGAATAATTAAATGTATAAAAATTGTTTCTTTGTTCGGTTTCGATGAAAACTGGTTCGAAATTTTAACACGAAACGTGTAATTAGTATTCTTGCCAATTACGATCCATTTGAATCTTCTTTTTATTGCTATGTCGGTTTTTGATTGCTAATTCAGGTGCAATTAAATCTAAGGTTTTATTCCTGATTTTTCATATATATGCTAATTTGTAGTTAACTTTTTCAAGGCAAACCAAATCGTCGACTAGTCTCTAAATAATATAACGAATTTATCTAGCAACATTAATATTCATTCATTAACGAGCGAAGAAAGTGACAGGCCACTTTTACTTTTCAAACGCCGTTCGCGAATACAGCTTATAAAAAAAACTATGTTTATGCGTTTATTCTTTTTTAGTGCTTTAATCTCAGCTATTAACTCACCAGCAATATCCAAATGGCACAATAGTATAACCACGCCATTATCGTTAATTATTGTTTATAATACATGTCCAACTTTACACTATACAAATGGTATCGATAATACCATATTTATTTAAGTACATTTTCACTGTGAAGGTAAATTTATTTCCATGTCCGAAAGGGAAAGGACCACAAGAGAGTCACACACACAACACACTCGACGGATTGACGACGACTGACCAAGACCGAGGCCGCTAGCCGAAGTGACGTAGTCTAGCCTTGACGACCACTTTACATAGACCTGTCTCCGTTTTTGTGACACTTAAAGAATACTACAAGCTTTATGTGAATATGTAAGACGCAGTTCTTAGTAACATGGTCAGATTTAAAATGTACAAAGAAAAATAAATAAACGTTTGTTTATGTGATTTTGGTAAAGATAAAAGGCACAATAATGTACAGCTTAAGAATTATTATATCTTTATTAAGTTATTTTTCATTTTAATTAAAATTTTGCTTTTTTAAAAGCGTAAATGAAAATTTACGGTAAGTTATGCTAAGTATCATGTAGATAACTTAAGTATGCGGTAACTATTGTACATAGTTTCTTATCGCTAATAATTATATAAGTCAAACGATATGTATTTTTTATTTATTTATTCAGTATTGCTAATAAATATGACAAACTATATACAAAATTTAGGATGTAGAATATGTTAATTACTTAAATAATTAGATTAACCTATGTATTTTCAATCATATTGCTTTAATTTTGAATAATCAGTATTTTCCTTCGGACTTTTGTAAATGTCGGTTCAAGTACAGTCAGTAAGATTTCTTTTTAATATAAAACTTTAAGAACAAAATCAATCAAATTTATAACAACACACTTGTAGAAAATCATATTTTCATCTCTCACTATTACTTAATAAAACGAAACTTAAAATATGTGTCAATAAGAGTCACAGCCATAGATAAAAATGCAAGTAATAGAGCGGGTTTTACAGGCATTTTTCTCTAAATAATTCAAGCAATTCACAACCGAAACTCTAGTAGTAGAGTTTTTGAACATTTGAGTATTTTTTAGATCTTAAATTTCTGATCGCATCAGTTATTTCAAATTGTACGATAGGGTTCTGTATACACAAGAACAACAGCTAGGGATGATGAAATAATCTTCATATGTACTTCCTGTGTAGTCCAATGCCACCATTTTGCGTAGAATATACTTCTGTTTGCAGTATCCTTCGTTGCCAAGTGCAAAACTCGCCACATTATCACACATGACATTTTGTTTACTGGAAGAAAAAAACTTTATTACATACTGCATTTAATGTTACTCTATGTATAGATGGAAATTTAGATTTAGTCCTCCAGATCTACACAAGAGACCTATAAAAGCCTTTCCCAAAGTCTAACACTGCTTTGTGGTCGCTTGAGGACTAGAGGCGGACACTAAATTGTATATTGCTAATTTTTAAGCGTCGGTGGCTCAGTGGTTTAAGCACTTGACTTGTAATCTACAGGTCTTGGGTTCGAATCCCGCCGTACCAATGTGATATTCGATTTTTCATATGTGCATAATTCATCCGACGTTCTTACGGTGAAGGTAATCATCACGATGCAACCTGCACATGCCCTCGGTTGAGACGTAAAGAGAGCTGGCGATGAAGATTTTTTGAAAATTAATCCAATACTTTCCTCATTATTTTAATGCCAGTTACTTATCAATTGACGTATTCATTTATACAATACAGTACATTGTTAATTAAGGAAAGATTTAACTTACTTGCAAACATCTACTCGGAATGTTTGTACGGCCTCTTCGTTTCTCTTATTCACAATATAGTACCATTTTTTTCCATTAACGGATCGTGCTGCCAGCGGACTAAAAAGCTGGGGAAATACAAAAACTTATTAACATTATAAATGTGAAAGTTTCGATGTATATTACGATTTATGTCCAAAACGGCTTAACAGATAACACTTGAAAGAGATACAGAACATATTTAAGAAGAAAACGTAGGATATTTATTGAGTTTTTTTATTCCGTGCGTGCGAAATCGCGCGCAAAATCTAACTGTGAAAGTTTATGGTTACCACTTAACTCTAAAACTACATAGATTAAATTTGAATAGAAATAGATTTTACTCTGGATGACACCATAGACTAGTAACTATGTTTTTTTTTAATTATTTTTATTTAATATTTTTCTTACCATTGTCTTTGATTGGCACAATTCCGTGTTATCTTCCTCGGGTCCAAACCGCTCGTCGAGTTGTATTATGTCCATATTGAAATGGGTTTGATTGACTTTATTTATCTGTAAAAATTTTTTTATTAACTTGGTAACAGCGAAAATCTATTTTATACAGTAGATATCCTACCTATCATTTTTAGGACTGATTATAGGTTTTTCTGCTGTTTTTGGAGTTGATTTGGATTGCTTAATGTATCATTGCATTTAACTTTTTTAACGTATTTCTACTATGATGACGTAAAAATTAGGCCAAAATTTATAAAACACTGCACTGACCCTTAATGTTTGTATGTGTTTCAATTCCTTTCTGAACGCTTACTAAACGATTGAACTGATATTTACTAGTGAGGTATTCATATCGTATATCTTGTGATAGTAAATCGGGATTTTTTATATTTTAAATCAACAATTTTCTTACCTGATCGATCAGTTGCGTCACGTACTGCTGCGGGTACTCCGGTACGTCATCGCAAATACCGATTTCTTCGCATTCTTTAGGTATGCTCGGTTTGAAAGACAGTGAGCCAGTAATTTGGTTATTATCTGAAAGATAGGACATTGTTAGACAGGTTTCATTAAAAACGATTATTTCCTAATGCGTGAATATTCAACGTAATCATCTATTTCACTATTTTTTGCAAATACCTTATAAAAACTTATTCCTTTCAGATTGATGAAAGGCGGTATAAGCAACTAAAACGCTCATGTATGCGTACATGGTTCTAGAAGAACTAAGAAACGTGACCTAGAACCGCACGAAATGACGGTTCTGGTGTCTGCTTACTCCTCAGGGTTATGGAGGTGAGTTATTTTGTTATCAATTAGGTGTATTCTTACCATAACCATCGATAGCTCTTGTTCTCCTGGTTGCATACCGATCTAAAATGATCGCGTCACTGGGAAGTAAGTGGACCTGTAAAATTAGTTAGATTTGCTTATACATTACAACAAGAATAAGATCATAGATTAGAGAAAGTATCAATAAGGGATATTTTATTTAAATAATTAGTAGTAACTTTTAAGAAAAAGAATGTAATGAAAGAAATGTTAATTAAAGTATGGAAAATTAAAAAAGAGTGTTAAAAGAGTGAGGTCTTTGTAAACTTACCAATGATACCCAAACGGCAACACAGACAAAGTACATATTTTTTTATTTTATTTTTAATATAAAAATTAAAACTAATTAAACCGTTTATAGGGACAAATGTCCTGGCGGAAAGATTGGGCTGCAATATGCAGTAGTCAAATGGAGTCCTTATTTATACAACTGTAGATCAGACGTCAGTTTATCCTTCCTGTAGTGTGTGTATGTTCGGACGTGTTCCCTTTCATACGTCATTACTTTAGCGATATGCCGCTTGACGACAACAGAGATCATTTTAGCAAGCTACAGTAGGAATCATTTGATTTGGTACCTCGGGTAAAAGAGAAAGAATACAACTTTAGAAATATACCATCTCTAGTTTTAACTATTTTAGTACAGTTTAGTTTAGTACAGTAGTATAGTTTATACAAATATTTCTTTGTTTTAGAACTATGTTCTTTTGGATGGAGCCTCCAGTCCTTCTTGTTCCCTCTCTTTTGCCACCTCTACATTACTCTATATAAAACAAACTATACTAGTTAATGTTATAAAGAGGAAGATTTGCGTTTTTAGTATGTATTGGAATAACTCAAAAACTACAAGGCCAATTTAAAATATTCTTTCACCATTAGAAGGGTAATTTTTCTGTGAGTAACATAGGCCATGATTATTATTATTTTTTTGATTACACGCCTGCGAAGTCGCGAGCAACAGCTAATGTAACATAAAGTCCGACAGTTATATTGTAATACTTTTTTGACAATGATAAGTGCACTAACGGCCTATAGTAATTAGTTTCACCGGGTCAAATAAGTTGCTCGCTTAACATAAATATAGAGTTGTTAATACAATTTGTGGTAACTGCTCTGTATTAGTTAGAAACATTTTGACAGTGAGTACACATTCAAAACATAAACAAGTCGGCTTATTCCGTTTACCTAACTAAATTTACCTAACCAGTTAGGTAACAAGAATTTATTTTCCTGTTTCCTAACTACTTAGCAAAGTAGAATATTTTTTTCCGTTTTCATAACCTGTCAAGTGTGCTAGGGTGGGTACACTCTGCTAGTTTCATGCCATCAATACCATCTTAGGGTGACAGGCGACCACCGTTAGGTGTCCGGATACCAAACCGCTGATACTACAATGTCTGAAAACACATGGCCAATTTCACGCTGGCGAACACCACACAGCTAGTATTTGGAATTTGAAGGAAAAGTAACACTATACTTAATAATAATAATATTAATGGATGGCCCGGAAAAAAAAAAAGCATACTCACCGTACCGGTTATGAAAACGGAGAAAAACATTCTTCTTTGCTAACTAGTTAGGAAATAGGAAAAAAAACTTGTTACCTAACTGGTTAGGTAAACAGAACAAGCCAACAAGTCGACCCTTGCTATTGTTATCGCTAATGAGCCAATATAAATGTCACGTACTGTACATCGTATAAGGAGATTTTTGCGTGCGTAAGTTGAAACTTAAATTAGGATAATTTGTTTATAAGCCTATGGTGTTTTGATTGAAATACTAATAGCCTAATGGGTAATTACGAAAGGAATTTCATGTTCGTGAATAATAATCCTTTCAAATATTCAAAAGAATCGTATCCATGAGATCTTGATAACTTAAACCTTTCTTTAGTTCGGATTTATGACACTAAATACTAAGGGACCCTTTTGCCCAATTTTGCAATTGAAACACGATAGTATACTACAGTTAACCGACGTTCTTACGGTGAAGGAAAACACGATGCAACCTGCACATATTGGCGAAGAAATTCGAAGATATGTGAAGTCCACCAACTCGCAATAGTCTTGCGTGGTTGACAAAGACCTTCTTCTCTTTCGTATCTTCATTGCTGAAGGTCGTGCTTGCCCTGGTAAGCCTTTACCGTTTCATCTACCAGCTGCCTCCACGCCGCCCTGTCTTCGGCTCGTCTCAGGGCAGTCGGGATGTTGAGTCCCAGTATGGACTGCACCTGATCGGTCCATCGGGTAGGTGAACGCCCTCGTGACCTTTTGCCCTCGATTTTTCCAACCACTACCAGTTTGTCCAGATTGTCCGGTTGTCTTCGAGACAAAGACCTAGTTTCTCTAAATTAGGGTAGGCTTTGAGCCCCCTTAGTGGTACAGTGAGCGGTCATGATGATTAAACCTAACGTGTGTGGTCTGCATAACAATAGAAAAAAAAATGACATCATCTTCAATTATGTTAAATTAGGTCAGAGGTTATATTTTCATTTTAAACGTTCATAAATTGGGTTTTCCCTCGACTTCGTAATTATAGCAGTAATATCTTCACACTTCATGTTCTATTTTTAGTTTATATACAAAGGAATTGTTTATATATATAGTTTAAATAGGAAATGCAATCCAATAAGAAGAGGATATTGAACATAATAAAATCCCAATTCTCTGTACGTAATGTCCAAGGAGACTATGGGCCATTGTGAAGGAAACACCATATGTTTTATACTTGGAATTGATATCATTTTACAGCGAAATTACACAGATAACCAATAAATTATGGCTTGTGCATTAACAATGTAGGTTTTTCCGAAGTAGTACTAATTTTATTTTGACATTCACTGTTCATTCGTGCCAAATTTATTCGAGAGTAGTACTAACTGTAGAGTGTAGCTCAGAGGTTAAGACTTTTGATATGTAATCTATACGTCCTGGGTTCGAATCCATGTACTAATATGTTTATAGATTTACAAATTTCTTATGTAAAAAGGTTATCGACGATCTTATAGTGAGAGAACACATCTTGATGCAACCAAGCCGAGACCTGGGGTCGTATTGCTGATGAGATATTGTAGCTATCTTCAATTAAAAGTGCCGTTCAAATCGGTACAACCATTTCGAAGTACGAAATAAACGCGGACAAACATAAATTAAATCTGATATATGTGGGATTCATATAGATCGTTTTCCCTTTTATTATTTCTATGCAGTCCCTAGCAACAGATACATAATTAAAAAAAATATTTTTGTATTTAATTACGAAACATATTGTGGTTTTATGTAAAGATTATATTTCATAATAATTGTAACCACATTTAAAAATCGATTTGTTAGGTTGCGTTAATTACGTAAAAGACAAAAATATAGTTAACCACGTCCAAATTATTTTACGTTTTTTCCTCTTTTTATTATATTGTTTCTATACATTTGAAATTAGGTATAGAATAACAAAATACTGTGACGTTGTCAAAAAAACCCGAACAGGATAACTCAATTATCTGGATTCCAGTAAGACAGTGTATGTCAATTTCCAATCAATTCAGTTGAAGGAATAACTTTGTTCTATACATACTTTTGACCCTTAGTTATCATATTTGCAAAATTCTTTCTTACTGTAAAACACTTAAAACAAAAATTATACATTTCAACTCTCAAGGCCAAATAGTTTAGTATCAATACATCTGTGAATTACTTTTTAAATTATTTAAAGTTAGATATATTAATGTTAAATGTAATATATTTCTATTAGTTGTACTTCCAATGATAATATACAACAACTAGCTGTTCCCGTGCGACTTCATCTGTTTAATGGCGTGAAAATATGTAGCCTAAAGCATGACGTAAGTGTAGGGCTTTTTATTAAAAAATAATTATTCAAAAATATGCTGTAATTGCTGACATCTTAGGCAACAAAGAAGTGTGTGTTTACGCTTTATTATAATAGTATAGATTGGACAGATAAGGGTCAGTTTACACAGACCGAAGCGTAGAGCAGAGATTTTATTTTCGCAAATACAACTGAGTTTGAAAGAAACAAGGTTTAATTTTTGTCAATCAGCAAGCCTAAAAACTAAAATGATACCTTGTTTCAATTTTATAAAGATCAATTTAATTTGCGTTAAAAATTTGCTCTGCACTACTTTCCGGTCTATGTGAATGGACCCTTAGACCTATTTAAAGTTGTGATATATATAGTACGATGACCTAGAAAAAACCGGTTCTCCCATAACCTTTTGTCATCATGTGTCATTCAAGAGACGATTGTATATAAACTAGCTATCACACGTGACTTCGTCAGGGGGGTATAAAAATTAGCCTATAAAGATCCCACGTTCATCAGCTACTATGCCGTCAAAGTCCCGTCAAAATCAGGTTGGTTGTCGTTTTAAAGATTACCCGGTACAAACACGGCGGTATGGATAATAATTTTCAGATTAGGGATTCATTGTCAGTGCATAACATATAAAATATGATTTTTTTCTGTACTACATACAGACATTCCAATTTTTATACGTATAATAAATATAATTTGGTGACATCAAATGCTTATCAATAAATGACTCACATCTCCTAAATTACTACTATGTATTAGAACTAGTTATTCGCCCACGTTTCGCTTAGAAAAAAAATTAAAATTAAAAGACACCCTAATGAATCATACTAACATTTATTAACGTATCTATTTTATTCCTTAGGTCCGGTAGAGGTAGACCTAGAAAAGATGGATGGATAGCGTCAAAGGTGTTATGTTCAAGAAGGGAGTGATGACTGAGTTGACTGATGATAGAGTTATTTGGAGGATGAAAACCCAATGCGTCGACCCTACAGAAGTAGGATAAGGTACGGAAGATGATCTATTTTATCCGGTCAGTTTTTGAGTTTTCGAAATAAATTTATTTATGTAAAAACAGACTGAAAGATTTTAAATGTTGTATTTACTGGCTTTGTGATTTTTTGTTAACATATGCGTGAGTCAATTTAAAATAATATTATTATATTTTTGTGGGGCTATGATTCACGCGGTCATCCGGTGTCAACACCAACTTGTTTCAAGGAAGTAGTCCCTCTCATCGTTGGATTAGATTTGATTATTGGTGGCCATCGAAACAAATGATTTCCGACACTGCACGAATAATAGTTGTTTTACATTTAATTTTAAAATAGTTTTTGCTATTTTACTTAACGTAGTTGCATATTTCCGTTCATGACAATACAGTACATATGACCTTTACAGGCGGTACACAATTATCCAACGTTCGCGGAATTGACAATATGCTATTAAATGAAATATTTTTTATGTTATTTTACTTCAAAGTTTGCAGCTCACTTTATAGTAATAGTGCCTACAAGTACCATATTTATATAGTTAATATTTTTGTGCCTGATAGGTTATAAAAAGAACGGATTTATTTTGTAGGATTAATAAGCTTGGTAAGGCAGGCATTAGGGTGTGGGTGAGCCACCGCCCAGGGCGCTGAACAGAAAGGTAACCACAGATCTAAGAGGTACATTGTCTTACATCCCTGTTTACGCACTTAAAATGGTCAAAACGGTGGCATCATAAAAATCTCGCCCAGGGCGATAGTAGCGATAGAACTGGTATGGCTGATAGACCCGTCTCATTGCAGTCCACGAAGTAGTGACCCTGCAAGAAATAATGCGGCAATTATTTAATTAGTATATCTTGCTCGAATATTTTTAGGATACTATAAATTTGCATTTCGATGTCGTATTTTAGTTTTACATTTTTGTTGATTTAATTGGATTTTCATATCTATTATTGCTCTTAAAATGGAAAACAGTTGATTGAAAGTGTCAATAGCCAGTACAAAATTATAGATATAGTAAAAAAATAAATGTAGGCATTACAAAGATCGAGTTAAGGAAAAGTTCAGAATTAATGGAAAAAGTGAAAGGTCGTTGTCCTTTACAAGTGAAACCGGTAAATTAAGGTTACCCAAACCAAACAACACAACTTGTTTACAAAAATATTGCATACGAATAAGTTTGGACTAAGTAACTTTTTAGTTTAAATTAATTATTGAAATATTTTGTATGTGATGTGTAATATTTACGAATAATTATTGACTATCTTTATGTCGGTGTCTCCGTCTGCGGATTTAAAAAAATATAATTAGCTTATTTGTTCTACATCTGTGTGAAATTTTTCCGAGCTCCGTTGACTCGTTCAGGAGATATCTTATAATATACATCCATACATCGAAGCTTTCACATTTATAATAATAAACTACTGTCACTATCCCACATGACGAGAATCTCGTGAAAGCCGAAAATGAAAAACAATTAAAATATTTGGATTTGGCTCACGAGATTACCGCGATGTGGCGTATGAAATCGACTACCATTATTCCGATAGTCGTTTCGGCACACGGGCTGATAGAGAAGAGCTTCGACCAATACCTCAAGAAGCTCTCGCTAGACAGTTGGATTAAGGGCCTGATTCAAAAGGCGGTTGTTTTAGAAACCGCACGAATAGTGAGGAGGTTCCTGTCTCTGCAGCCCTGACCACTAGTTGCTTGAGTCATCGGATTCTGCAGCCGGTGGACTTCTATTTTTTTTGTGAAATATATTATATGTAAAAATAACAAAATAAAGGTTTGAGATTATAACTAAATACTTATACTCATTGTATAAGATTTTTTATAATTAACCCTTTCCCGCCTTTTGTCTGCGACTAGAGTAACGGTGTAAAAGGATTAAATTGTCTCTGAAATAAAGTGTTTTACTGTTTAAACAAATAATACGCGGAATGGACATATGTACATGAAAACATATACCTAGGAATTTTCTAGAAACATGAATAATTTGTTTGAACAGTCACTATATTCTTATGATTGTGAAGGAATTTTGATGCAAGCTCGTCATAAGAACATTGCGGTTTTCTAGAAAAAAATTGTACAAACAGACATGATGTCGTAAATAATATGATTCATTACTTATTTGTTAGGTCAAGTTTAAATTGTTCGCTGTAAAACTAGCGTTGTGTTTTGTCTTTTGTCATAAGATAAATAATTACTTAATTGCATGTAGATTTGTAGCTGTTGGTCATGATTTCGGCGAAGAATTTATGAAAGGCAAAAGTAAGTAGTCTTTTTGTGTTCTTCCAGTCTATTTTCTACATCTATGCTAATTTTCATCGAAATATGTTTAGCTGTTTAGGCTACAAACTCTAACAAACATCCATACAGATTGCATTTATAATATTAGTAAGATTAGTAAAAAGTGAGAAATTCTATTTGACCATGTGGGCATAATTGGAACTGAATAGTGATGTCGCACAAAAAAACAAAAGTGAGTAGCCTATGTGGTATTCCAGACTATCATCTACATCTATGCCAAATTTCATCGAAATATGTTTAACCGTTTAGGCTACAAACTCTAACAAACATCCATCCATCCATCTAAACGCATTTATAATATTAGTATGATCTGATGTGCCCCCGCTCTATTTGTTTAGGCGGATTAATGTTATATGTTTAACATCCATCCATCCTTTCGTGTTTATATTAAGATAGCCAAAGATGTGTTGCTAATAGTTATAAAAAAATGTCCCAGCGCGGCCCAAAGATTCAACGCGTTCTGCAGTTTAGTAGAAGTAGTAGTAGTCACGATAGACTGAGCCTGTATTTAAGTTATACTATACAGGGTGAATCGGTACTTACTAAACTAGCGCGTACTATCCTTCGACCACATCTTCACCTTGGTCTAGGTGCAATAGTGGTCAAGCGCTGGTTTTGCAATTTAAAAAAAAAAACTAATGCTTCTGAAGTTTCCATTTACTTTGTCAGTAACTATTGATTCATTAGCGTTAGATAGACTCTTCAACGGAGTAAAACTTTAGTTCGGTAACGCATTTCATGAAGTTATCAAATCAATGTACTAATGAAGGGTTAAACGTAGTTGGGAAACTGGCCATAAATACGACAAGTCATACACATGAACTTTGAATTTAGAGCTGTTTTTTTATAAAAATTAAATTTGTTTAGATTAAAAGTTTAAAACTTGAGTTTTGATAAAACGATGTTTGCTTTCATTGTTTTTTATCTGTAAAAATGTTTTAGCCGTGATAAGCCACGTTAACTCTAACTCATTTGTATTGGTAATTAATTTATTTAAGAAAAAAAAAAACAAATAGGATGGGTTAACTGATGTAAAAAAATAAAAGTTCGAGAATACTCGATGCATTTTTTTAATGTTTCAAACAAGATCTCGATGACTAGCAACTAAACATAAATTGAATCGAAAACAAAATAACGTGACAAAACTTATCTATAACTTACACTATTTAAAAAAAATCAGTAAATACTTGTTAAAAAACACTGTCATCTTTTCACTGTATATAAAAAAGGTAAATTAAAAATGAAGATAAATCTAATACGCCTCAGAACTGAATTTACAATTAAATACAATTTTTTGCGTGTCGGAGGTCTAATTTTAGTCCCATTCCCTTTCCACCACTTTCTTAAAAGGAATGGGAAAGGAGTGTGGATTTGACGGTGGAGGAATTGTATAGGAAGAGTAAATATCCTCTTTTTGTGTCCTCCTTCGTCGATTAAGGGTAGGCAATTGCAATTGCGGATGTTTACCTTCTCACCTATCCATGTTTGACTATAATTAATTACAATTTATATGTATGTTAAAGAAATCAATAAATTTTGATATTCTCGAAAGAAATGAGTGTGCTCAACTTGATTTTTTTTTAAATTTCTGGGAAAATTATTTAAAAATAGAAATTAAAATTAACAATATTTCATATTACAATAAATATGTCACAAAATATAATTGCAGTGTTATTGGAGTTTTTTTTTTTTGAAATCTTAAGAATTTGATTCGAAATTTCTTATTACATCTAATTCATACATCGACATTGCTAATTTTACAATACAATTTTTGGTTTCTGAATCATTTAAACTAGCTTAAAATATAGATAAAAGGATTACGATTAAGTATGACAAAATTTACTTTTGTACTTCAAATTAGTATACGCAACACGGACATGTCAAGGTCAAATTAATTGGCAAATGTCCTTATTCGATTCTTAAAATAAAAAATATAATTTTCATAAAACTACATTCTGAAGTAACAAAACTATCAAATCGAACAGAGATACGTTAGAATAAATGTACTCAAAATAAATCTAATGATTATTAAAATTACATGACATTATAGTTAAAAATAACAGATACAAAGTATCTCGTTACTATGCCGAAAACAGAAGAATTTCAAATTCCATACACAGTTTTTCCCTTATTTTTTTTTAATTTGCAATATAAAGTAAGATGTTATTACATAATAAGAGCATTTTGACCAATTCAAAACTTGTGTGTTTACTAATAATAAATTTGAGTTTGAGTTTCTGTTATTTAGTTGAAATAAGGTTAACTTTTAACGGGTTTGACGGTAGCTTTGGCAGGACTCATATTTTTATCGGTCCCAAATCTGTTTAGAATAGGCGCAGTTTTATAAACACAAGAGCAACAAACTGGCAGTTCCACTTCTATTTTTTCCGTATCATTTTCACCTTTTCTCACCAAGACTTCCCATTTATTGTACTTCTGTTTACAAGAGGTTTTGATTTCCGAAGTCAGATGCAGACCGTTAAAGCAAGACGCTTCTGTATTCCTAAAATTTGTAACTTACATAAGTAAATAGCATACTAATTTTAGTGTCATCAAGAGCAAATGATAGTTTTCGTTTCTGATACATGTCAAAAAGGTCATTGAACTTACGTGCAGGTTTCCAAACGAACTCTCTGAACGAAATTCTCCGTAGGCGCTTGTACGACTTCCCTCCAATCGCCCTCCCGCTTTTCACGTACTCTGTACAATGGGTCATACTGTAACAAATAATATAATTAAGAGTTTGATAACATTTTGTTGTCCTAGAAGACCACAAATGCGTTGTTTTTTAATCAAAGCAAAACCGATCTAGATTAAAAGCTTACGAACATGTAAATTCGAATGTTTGACTAGAGCCCACTACCTCATGATTGGTAGTTTATGCCCTTTTTGCTATCTGTGCTACATAATTCTACCAATATATACTAATATTATACACAGTAAAGATTTTTATTTTTGTAAGTATTGAAATAACTTAAAAACTACTGGGCCGATTTTAAAAATCGTTTCACCATTAAAAAGCTATGTTATTAGTTGCTAACGTAGGCTATATTTTTAAATTCTATGTAGACAAAGTCGCGAGCAACAGCTAGTCTTTAAATCACCATCATCATCATCTCCTTATCCTACTCCCGTAGGGTCGGCGCAACAGGTTTTTGTCCTCCACATAACTCTATCATACGTCATCTCAGTCATCACTCCCTTTTTGATCATGTCACCTTTTACACAATCCATCCATCTCTTTCTAGGTCTACCTCTACCGATGTACCCTTCCACACTCATAACTAACGTTCTCCTTGTAACATGCGATTCATCCCTCCTCACCATACCATGCAAACCTTTTACTCCTTAACAGCTAGTCTTTAAATAATACTAAAAATAAATTACCTTGACTTCACTATCACAATCATCACTTAGTTCAGGGTCACCCTGACGGTTTGTCAACATCGTATCCAGCACTAAAGATGGCTGAGGAACTATATTCTGAAATAAATAAGCTTTTATTTATAAGACAATTTATACATATCGTAACCCGTATGAAATCATGCATTCATACATGCTGTACTACAAAAAACATCTATTCTAAAGCATTCAAAGCATTCAAAGCAGAATTATCAATTCATCCAAGAAAAGAGTTACTTTTCTTAGAACTTTAACTAACTAACCGCATTATTTTCAAGAGGGCCTTGGATTAAATTGTTTATTGCTCTCCGCTATCGATATGCGTTGCGCTGTGTATTAGAACACGTTAAAATAGATTGATAAAAAATCAATTTTCTAGGTTTATTATTTACGTTACGCTTAACTTTTCTTTCGTCCATTTTCTCAACTCTATTATGTGATCAATTTTTCCTTTGGAAATACTTTTAATGACAGCTAATACTGACTTGTTTCATCGCATTTCATTATTTATTACAATATAATTACAATACATTTGTGAAACAATAAAAACGGTAGAGTGGCCAAGATGTTTCTTCAACAATAAAAAGGGCATAGAATCTTATGGATAGATATCAACAGAGTTAAACAAGTATAGACAGTTAGAAATATTTGTTAATCTGTTAACTAAACTTACCGCATCTTTAAACATTTTACTGAATAATTCTTCTGGATAGTCTGCAGGTTTGATGGTGCAATAAGTTTTTCCCTTGCACTCTTCTGGCTCTTCTGCCTTAGCTTTGAGATTATGCTCCACGGGTCCAGGGAAAACTATAGGCGGTGTATCCACACCTGTGAATAAATAAAATATTGGTAATTACCATTGTTGCTTATTTTAAGTTGCCAAAAAGCAACTCAAAATTTCAACACTTTAAAAATGACCAAAGTGAAATCATTGGGAACCTTTGAGATATAGTCTCAAAGATTCCCAATGATTTCTGTTTCAAGGTTGTTTATATGCACTTCGAATATGTTCAGAATTTTTTTACGCCTAACTTATATGTAAATGTTTCTGTATGTATCCTAGATTTATTTGAAAATTTAATTATACTCGTATATAAAAAAATTAAGAAAAAGTTATAAGCTGTTTTAATATTAATAGTTTATTATTATATTCTGAGTAGTTAAAATAAGGATGTTATCAAATGTTCGAAGCATCGTTTCGTAACGATAAGGTTATTTTTAGAAGATATCGTTTGTAAATCACAAAACACTCACCACGTTGAGTCACTGCAGCAGTTGTCATCTGCAGGTTAACAATACTGACCTGTGGAATGATAAAGGCAACTTTGTTACAAACATTGTGATAGTTTTCTTTAAAATATGATACCCAAAAAATGATAGATTGTAATTTACAGAGTTTACACACATCCATCCATCCTAACTTTTGCTTTTACGAGTATAATATAACTAGCTGTTCCCATGCGACTTCATCCGCATAAAATTAAGAAAATATCATTTTAATTTTGACATATTTAAAATTATCAATTGCAAATGTCAAAATGATATGACACAACCTCGCTTCTTTGATATTGGCAACTTATGGTCTCTTTCCCACATTAGGATTTTTATCCAAAATATTTACCCCTAAGTTTAATGGCGTGAAAATATATAGCCTAAAGCGTGACGTAAAGTGTAGGACTTTTAATTAAAAAAAGAACTATTGAAAAATATGCTGCAATTGCTGACATCTTAGGCAACAAAGAAGTGTGTGTTTACGCTTTATTATAATAGTAAAGATAAGTGTTTTAGACGAAAGATGTCAATGAAGAAAAACGAAAGAAATACTTTTTAAAGGTATACTTAAAACGAGCGTGGAAGAGCAGCGAAACCGTTAAGGAAAATAACGTAACTAGTAGGACATTTTAACGGGTAATCTCAAACTTAATAATTCCACGCGTCTCCATTACAAAACAAAATACACTTAAAATCGTGAGACAATGCAATTCGATGTGAGATATAAAATAAGTGGGCGACGTTTAATGTAATACATCAGAGGGGAATACCGGCGATCTTAGAATACTACCTCGCGAACTCCCCGTGCAATTAGTATTTGAGTCACGAAGTTTCTGTCGTCACGCACGGCTGGTTGTTACCATTCATGGAGTAACACTACCTAGATCAGGGGTAGCGAACATTTGTTCATCAAAGCGCATTTAAAAAATGTTATTTTAGAATTGCCATCGAATAGTTTTGACAGCGATTATTACGTCAATTCCGGTGCACCTACTTTATGATTGTTCGTAGTGTTTTTATGATTATCTACGTGCCCAAAATATTATGTCGTGTATTTATGGCACGTGTGCCAGTGGTTTGTTACCCCTGACTTAGATCAATGAACCAATTGAGTCGTAAAAATCCAAACTCAATGTATCTTATGTATGTATCTAATGCTTTTCACAAATCTACCAAAGATAGTCTTGAATTTTAACGTCATTTCTTAATTCTAAATAGAAAAGAAGTAAAGAGTGAAAATGTTGAAATGTTTATATTTGTGCAGTTAATAAATAACACGTAAGATAATCAAACTCCCATTATGCTCGACTTCCAGTTTTCCGCTTAGCGACTACATTTTATATAGAACCTCTATTTAAATGTAATTAACGATTATATACGTATAAACTTCGTCGTTATAAATCATTATTTATCAAGATATGTTTAGTTAACACATCATGCAGAATATCGTGATTGTTCAACGGTAATCTGCCTATTGCCACTGGCTTGATTGCCGCTGTATGAAATACAAAAATCACAGCTAATGTACATATGTCTCTTGGACAGAAAATCCCACGAGAGGAACATTGTTTTATAAAAAAATATATTGCTGCTGTAAAAATAGCTCTGAGATGTCATATTTAATTTATTTTAACTGAGGTTATCGCTATTTTCGCAACAGAAATAATGAAATTCGTCATTCCGTTAGTTCTCTTAAACCGAAAAATTATAGTATCATAGCATGGGAAATGAATATGTTTGGAGTGCATAAATATCAAGCAATCTTTTGTGGCAGTGCAAGAATCATTGAATTAATAATAAACATTCCATTTCAATAATGGCCTTAACATTATACCGGCGCCAGACGAGACAAAAGCAGTTTCGTATGTTTACAGTCGTGTTACGTTTATTATAATCTTGTTTCCAAAGAACCAGTTTTCGTTCTGAACTATAATCATTGTGGTTGCTTAACACGTTCCTTGTCAATTTTAACCGACTTCAAAAAGGAGGAGGTACTTAATTTCTCTGTTTTTTTGTTACAACTCCGCCCTTGGTTGTCCGATTTTAATGTTTTTAATTGGACGGTTCTGCGTGCCATTTGCTCATTTTTAAAATTGAAAATTAGTAGGTAATAAAATTAGTTTTTGAATTATTGAGATAATAGCACTGGATGTGTAAAATGTAAAAGGACCCAACATTTTTTTAAATTTATTTATGAAATTTACGCTCTACCAACCAGCCCACTTTGCTGAAACAAAATTATTACTAGGGAACTCTTAATTTGTACTTGAGGGACCCCTAAATTTAAGTGTTGCAAAATGGACATTACTCTCTGGAGTGATTGATTTTATAAATAGTAGTATTCGCCCGCTACTCCATTCGAATAAAATTAAAAAAAAACATGAGTAGCGAATGTTTTTCCAGACTTATCCTCCAATTGTATGCGAAAATTCATCGAAATTCGTTTAGTCATTTAGGCTACAAACTCTAACAATCATCCATCTAAACTTACATATTTATAATATTAGTATGATTTTAATATTCCTTTTAAAGAAACCTGTGCTTTCGCTTGACAGCTTGAAGACAGTTTCTTCGCAAAAAAATTCATAAAGGGAATTAATTACAACAAACAAAGATCAATCCTATAGTTAATAGCGCTTATTTTAATTGTTTTGTTACCTTCGTATTGTAGAAAATCTATTTTTTTACATGTCTAAAGACAGTTAATGTGTTACAACACATCTTTTAATAGAAATATTTTGGTATTCGGGTTTAAATTGAAAGGAAATTAGATTTCGTCCGTGTCTAATTACAAAATTTCGGTTGTCTGTGCGTTCCTCCAGATAGTGTCCCATATTTAAACAAAATGCAGACATAAAAAGTCGTTTTGAAGATACCTTTTAATATCCATCCATCGATACGTTCGTACTTATAATATTAGTAAGATAACTAACAGTGTTGCTACTCGTAGCAAGATTTTAATAACCGCTTTCTAATTTCGCAAATTGCAAGAGAAAACACACATTGAGGCTAAACGGTCCAGACTTGCATTTCAACATTTCTCCCGTGGTCTAATTTCTCCGATATTATGGTATTAATTTCACCGTTAGTTCATGAATTTAGCAAAACGACCTAACAACTTCGTATTAGTAGAAATTTTTTAGTGGAAAAATTATTTAACAATTATTGGTGCTTATTGTTTTTCCATACTTTTAACTTTTTTGTGATATTCTGTCTTAGATGACTATATTAATATTAATTACGTAAACAACTTAGTAAAGCAAAATACATTTTTTTTATATTCCCAAAACAATACTTAATCTATTTATTCACAGTCAAGGGAATCTATCTATTAATTGCTATTCTTATAAAAAAAATACTTTTCATGGAAAATAATAATTTTTTTAACAAATACTTGATTTCTAATATTAGGATAAGAAACATACTTACCTAAAGTAAATTGTTTAAATACTGTTTCGCTTTTAAACTATACCGATACTTATAATTAAATAAGACTACGTTTTTAAAAACAATAGAAATAATTGCTGATATAAAACTCATGGAAGAATTACTTCTATGAAGAGAACATTATTGCAAGTCCTTAAATCAAACACAATCTGTTTAAACACCTACAGTAGCAATTACACGTGATTTTCAAGGATAAAATAATTATAAATAAACGTGCTACAAACATATAAATAAACAAGAATTATCTGAACGATGCTTTAGCAATACTTCATATTTATAATTCTTAAATAATAAAATAAATGAAATTAACACTTACAATGAAAATCGCTACTGCTAATGCCATTTTGTTTTCACTGAAGACGACGCAAAAATCACTTGGAGCAAATGCAACGCGGCCGCTCACTTGAAGGTCTTAATGACGACTGACAGTAACGGACTGGTACAATGTTAGTGGACTTATAGTCTTTGTTGTTCGCGACAAGCGTCATAAGAATCGCCACTATCAATTTTCCTCTAACAACTGTAACAATCATGTTCCCAATTTCACGAATGACTACACTAAGCGTCGTTATGGTAGACGCTAATTTTTTATTATCATTTCTAATTCAAAATCTCGTTTATTCATAGTAACCCTGCCTCACTGCATTTCTCCTTCAATGTGTACCGTCGACTTTATCCCGTCATCATGCATTTTCGTCAGTTTTTCTTAGGGCACAGAGATTACCTTTTGGATTTACTGTTGTAGATTTAGTTTGAGATGTTAACGATAAGGGATTGTTTAAGCTCTTTTTATGAGAGATTGATCTATATTAAAAGTAACGAGAATAAATATGGTTATGTACCTGCAATGGTGTATAATAACCTATGAAACAATAAATGGATTGTGTTAAAAGATATTTATGTGTTAGAAGGTAATGTAAAAATGAATGCAGATTTATGATGCAGAGTACATACGAGTATTATGTTGTCATCAAAACTTAGAAATCAGTCGTAAAAGCTTATTAATAGATAAATCAATCAAACATATTTAACAGCACTTGTAAAGCCGATGCTAGGATATCTGATACGACACAACGTAACCACCATAATAGAAAGAGAATAGATTGAAAAGGGAAGAAGACAAAACCACGACAAAGATATATGCAACAGGTAAGAGCTCGCGCATACTTTTGACTAATCTATCGTACAAATATTTAGTCGCGTTTTGATTCCTATGAGTTTATATGAAGGTGTTAACACTAGATTATATTTGCAAGTAAACAGCTGAATTTGCTGCGAAACAATCGACAATCGAACAATAGTTGTGCGATAGTTTAGTTAAAGGTGTCCACATTAAAAGTGAAAGTGGGCGTCGTGTATCAGAAAGACAAAAGGGTGTAACAAGAAAGGAAAGACTGGAGGCATCCATCGACAAGGATACAGTCCTTAAATATAGTATTGCGTAGCACTAAAATTTTGAAACAATTTTTAGTTTATTAGTTTTATTAGTTGTAACACTTTCTATACGCAGCTTGACTTAAGTCACTACTATTCACGGATTATTATATTTTGCACACAAAACAAAGGAAATTTTTGTTCATTCACATTTCGGGTTGTTGTGTTTAAATATCTAAATTAACCACAACATTTTATTAAAGTAAATATAAGGCTATTACAAAATATTTTTGTGGTAACGGCGACTTTAGTTTGATATGAATGAAATAACTGGGAATTACATGTTAAGTGTAACGTAATCAATGCCATACGTATTTTAACATATAAGGATATATATATTTACCTTTTTAAATCCATGTTTCTATCTTGTGCTATCCTTCTACTTCTAGCACAGAGTTATTCTTCTAGTCTACTGATTTTACTCCTTTGAGTAGAGTCAATTTTATCTGACCCAGTGAGCAATGGAACTGATATCTCTTGAAATTATTTACTAAGTATTCTTAGGCCATGTCCCACCACTGGCTGATAGAGACTCAGATAGCTTAAAATGACGTCACTGTCAGATAAGGTAACAAAATCTGATATTTCATAACATATTTTACACGTTAGATTATCAGACAATTTACAATTTGGTGGAAAAGTAAATGTCGAATACTGAAAGAGCATTTATATATGTTTTTTTTTATAACATAAGGTGGCAAACGAGCAAGCGGCCACCTGAAACCGCCAAAATGGCGAAGCGACTGCTGCCCATAGACATCCGCAATTGCAGATGCGTTGCCTACCCGTATACGACGGAGGAGGAGACGCACATAAAGAGGATATTTCCCCTTCCTATGCATCTCCTCCACCGCCAAATCCACTTCCTCTTCCCAACCTATCCTTATAAGAAAAGGGTGGTAAAGAGAAAGGGACTTAAATTAGGCCTCCGGCACCACACTCGTCAGACGAAACACGGAATTGCTTCCGTTTCACGCCCATCTTCTGTGTGGTCGTGGTATTACACCGCGCGTGCCGGCCCATTCGTGCTAAGATGTTAAAACGGGCACTACCACTGTAACATCATAATAAATGATAAGGTTGATCTTAATGTACAAATTTAATTAAAATTTTAACGTCTGTTATGTCTAACATTACAACAGCTTACTGTCGTAAGCGGCTTAGACAAGCGAATTGTCGTTAAGTATTCGGCCGTTAGAAGCGTAGAGAATTACATAGAATAAAAAAAAAGATGTTTTCGTTTTACTTTGTACTGGATTACATCTATACTATTATAATAAAGCGTAAACACACACTTTTTTGTTGCCTAAGATGTTAGCAATTGCAACATATTTTTAAATAATTCCTTTTTAAATAAAAAGCCCTACACTTACGTCACGCTTTATATTTTCACGCCATCAAACTTAGGGATAAAAACTTTTTAATAAAAAAACAAAACC